TGTCCCTAGGTGTGAGTGAGAGAGTGAATGGTTGTTTGTGTCGTTTGTCTCTATGTGGCCCTGTGATGGACTGGAGACCTGTCCAGGGTGTCCCCCGCCCCTCGCACAGTGATTGCTGGACATGGGCACCAGCGACCCCCGTGACCCAAAAAAAATGGAATAAGCAGGTAAAGAAAATGGATGTATGGATAGAAGTAGAAGGTCTGTTGCTAAACATTGTAAGTAATTATGGTCCACAGGTTGGATGTGATGAGGAGGAGAAAGATACATTTTGGAAGGATCTGGATGAAATGATCGAGAGTTTTCCTAGAGAGGTGAGCGTGGTGATCAGAGCAGACCTGAATGGACACGTTGGTGAAGGAAACAGAGGGGATGAGGAAGTGATGGGTAGGTTTGGTGTCAAGGAAATAAACCAGGAAGGTCAGATGGTGGTGGATTTTGCTAAGAGAATGGAAATGGCTGTAGTCAACACCTATTTCCAAAAGTGTGAGGAACATAGAGTGACCTTTAAAAGTGGAGGTAGGAGTACGAAGGTCAACTACATCCAAAAGGAAACCTGAGGGAGATTTGAGACTGTAAGGTTGTGGCAGGGGAGATTGTGGCCAGATGGCATTGGATGGTTGTGTGTGAATTGATTATAAGGAAACCTGGTGGTGGAATAGTGAAGTGCAGGACGTCATTCAAAGAAAGAGGTTAACCAAGAAGAAATATGACAGTGAGAGGACTGAAGAGAGGAGACAGGAATATAAGAAGATGGGGCATAGAGCAAAGAGAGAGGTAGCTAAGGCAAAGCAGAAGGTGTATGATGAGTTGTATGGGAGGCTGGACACTAAAGAGGGCAAGAAGGACTTGTACCGATTGGCAAGACAGAGGGATCAGGCTGGAAAGGATGTGCATCAGGTTAGGTTTGTTAAAGATAGGAATGGTAATGTTCTAACAAGTGAGGAGTGTGTGACAGGAAGATGGAAGGAGTACTTTGAGGAGCTAATGAATGAAGAGAATGAGTAGATGTCATAGAAACTTTGTACCAAGAAGTGGGAAAGATTAGTGAGGGTGAAGTCCAGAAAGCTCTGAAAAGAATGAAGAAGGGGAAGGCAGTAGGACCTGATGACCACTGGAGGTTTGGAAACATCTTGGAGAGATTGCAGTGAGGTTTTTTACTCAAATATTCAATGGCATATTTGAGGGTGAGAAAATGTCTGAGGAATGGAGAAGAAGTGTGCTGGTGGCCATTTTTAAGAACAAGGGTGATGTACAGAGTTGTAGCAACTACAGGGGAATTAAGTTAATGAGCCACACGATGAAGATCTGGGAGAGAGTTGTGGAAGCAAGACTTATTCGAGTCAATAATTATTGACTATTTGTGAGCAACAGTATGGTTTCATGCCAAGAAGGAGCACCACAGATGCCATCTTTGCTTTGAGGATGCTGATGGAGAAGTACAGAGCTTGTCAGAAAAAAACTCCATTGTGTCTTTGCGGAATTAGAAAAAGCATCTGACAGGGTGCCGAGGGAGGAGGTGTGGTGTTGCATGAGGAAATCTGGAGTGGCAGAGAAGTACTGTGTTAGACTAGTACAGGACATGTATGAGAACAGCAGGACAGTGGTGAGGTGCTATAGGAGTGACGGATAGCTTCAAGGTGGAGGTGGGATTGCATTAAGGATCAGCTCTGAGCTCCTTGTTTGCTCTGGTGATGGATGGTGGTGGAATAGTGAAGTGCAGGACGCCATTCAAAGAAAGAAGTTAGCCAAGAAGAAATATGACAGTGAGAGGACTGAAGAGAGGAGACTGGGATATAAGGAGATGGGGCATAGAGCAAAGGGAGGTAGCTAAGGCAAAGCAGAAGGTGTATGATGAGTTGTATGGGAAGCTGGTGACAGATGAGGTCAGACTGGAATCCCTGTGGACTATGATGTTTGCAGATGACATTGTGATCTGTGTTGAGAATACGGAACAGGTGGAAGAGAACTTGGAGACATGGAGGTTTGCACTTGAAAGAAGAGGAATGAAAGTCAGCCGTAGTAAGACAGAGTCCATGTGTGTGAATGAGAGGGAGGAGGTGGAACAGTGAGGCTACAAGGAGCAGAGGTCACAAAGGTGCAGAATTTCAAGGGCTTGGGGTCCACTGTCCAGGAAAATGGGGAGTGTGGTAAAGAGGTGAAGAAGAGAGTCCAGGCAGAATGGAGAGAAGTCTCAGGAGTGATTTGGGACAAAAGGGTATTAGCAAAGGTCAAAGGAAAAGTTTACAAGACAGTGGTGAGACCAGCTATGTTGTATGGTCTGGAGACAGAGACATTGACAAAAAGACAGGAGACAGAACTGGAAGTGGTGGAAATGAAGATGCTGAGGTTCTCCTTAGGAGTGACGAGGATGGATAAAATTAGGAATGAGATCATCAGAGGTACAGCTTAGGTTGAACAACTGGGAGATAAAGTTAGGGAGGCCAGACTGAGATGATTTGGACATGTTCAGAGGAGGGACCGTGGGTTTATTGGTAGAAGGATGTTAGAAATGCAGCTGCCAGGGAAAGGACAAAGATGAAGGCCAGAGGAGATATATGGATGCAGTTAGAGAGGACATGGATGTAGTTGGAGAGAGGACAGAGTGAGGTGGAGGAGGATGACTCGCTGTGGCGACCCCTGAAGAGGGAAAAGCTGAAAGAAGACATTGCTTTACAATGCAGCTGTTTTTGTTTAATTTATTTTAGATTGTTTTCTTCCATTTATCTTTTCAATTTAAATGCCTTTATGATTGTCTACTGTTGTCGTCATTCTTTGTTAAAAACAGGTCTCTCTTGTAAATGAGTCCTCGGCTCAACAAGACTAACCTGTATAAATAAAGGTTGAATGAAACGTAATGCACATTGTCTTACAATCACTTTAATGTAAAATTTTCTTTTGTTCGTTCATCCAGCTCTCCCACGGCATCACACCGGGAAGGAGAAAGAGGGTCTCACTGGCCAATGGCTCTATAACCAGGAGATGAACTCCAGTTCAGACCAGGAGGAACCAGAACTTCCACAGATAAAAGAGAAGCATGAGGATATAGAACTTCCACAGAAAAAAGAAGAACAGAAGAATACAAAACCTCCACAGACAAACCGAAAAACTCTAGAGATGAAAGAGGAGCAGGAGACTGAAATCTTTATGGTAACTCCAGTTTATAATGAAAGAAACCACAAGGAACTAGAACCGAACAGGTACCAACGGCTTTCTCTGTACTCTTCTGAGTCTGAGAACCAAGTTCAGGAAGGAAGCAGAAAAAACAGACTCAGGATTCAGCAGAGATGAAGAGCTGAAACAAAATAAGAGAAGTTCACAAACCAGAAGTCACGGCGACAACCTAGACCACCCAAATGTAAAAAGAAACCCCAAAAAGTGTTTTGTGTGTTTGACTTGTGGGAGAAAATTCTCTGTAAAATATAATTTAACAGCTCACATGAGAACTCACACAGGTGAGAAGCCTTTCTCATGTCAGATCTGTGGAAAAACTTTTGCTTTTAGAAGCGCTTTGAATTCTCATGTGAAATCACACACAGGTGAGAGACCTTTTACTTGTCAAATCTGTGGAAAAAGTTACTCTGAAAATAACAGCTTTAAATACCACATGAAAACTCACACAGGTGAGAAGTCTTTCACGTGTGAGACCTGTGGAAAAAGTTTTATTCTTGGAAGCGCTTTGAATTCTCACATGAGATCTCACTCTGGTGAAAAGCCTTTCTCATGTGAGACCTGTGGAAAAAGTTACAAGCGAAAAGTTCATTTGAAAGTACACATGAAAAAACACACAGGTGAGAGACCTTTCTCGTGTCAGATCTGTGGAAAAAGTTTTATTTTTAGAAGTGATTTGAATATCCACATGAAAACACACACAGGTGAGAGACCTTTCTCATGTCAGGTCTGTGGAAAGGGTTTTATTGTAAAAGGT